TTTTTAACATGAAACTCCAAAAGGGTCCAATCAGAGAAAGGAATATAAACCTAATGTTTATTTATTTATTTTTCAATTTCTATGGCCACTCATCTCAAACAAGTTTATATAATGATAATAACCCTAACATAAAATTAAGCATATAAGCTTCACGCTCTTCTCTGGGAGCGCCGAGAACCTTTCTGCCTCTGCTGGACTTCATCTTGATGATGTCGCCACAGCTGCCGGGTGCAGAAGGACAGAGGTAGCCAGAGCGGCTAGTGAACAAGGGTCAAGCAGCCTGATCCTCCATTGCTTACTCACTGGCTCGCCTGCTGGGCTGCCTCGGCGCCACTCTGGCTACCTCTGTCATTCCGCACTCGGCAGCTACAGTAATGTCATCAAGATGAAGTCCAGTGGCAGCAGAAAGATTCTCAGCACTCCCAGACTTCATCTTGATGACATTGCCGCAGTTGCGGGGCGTGGAAGGACGGAGGTAGCCAGAGCTGCACTGAGACAGCCTGGTGGGCGAGAGAGTGAGGATCAGAGAGTGAGGATCCCTTGCTCACCAGGAAGCACCGAGAAGAGCACAAAGTCCAGCGGAGGCAGGAAGTTACTCGCCACTCTGGGAAGCCGCGAAAGTGACTAGGGAACGCCGAGAACTTTCCTGCCTCCACTGGACTTTACACTCTTCTCCGTGCGCTCCTCATGACTGCAATGGACATCCAGAAGTGGCTTTTGTGGCTAATGGGGTTTGGGCTTCCAGCCCAACAGTCCCCGCCACTTCTGGACATCTATTGCAGTCGTGAGGAGTCCAGTGGAGGCAGGAAGGTTCTCGGTGCTCCCCAGTCACTTTTGCGGCTTCCCAGAATGCGGAGGAGCATGTGGGGAAGAGAACAGCACTCTGGGAAGCCATGAAAGCAACTGGGGAGCACTGAAAAATTTCCTGCCTCTACTGGACTTCGCGCGTTTCTCGCAACTGCAATAGATGCCACTTCTGAACATCTATTGCAGTTGCGAGGAGCGCACAGAGGAGAGCGCGAAGTCCAGCGGAGGCAGGACGGTTCTTGGCGGTTGCTGGTTGCCCAGCTGGCATGGCCTCACATGTGCACCTCCTCCTCCTCCTCCTCTTTACTCCCCAAAGGCACTTCTCCTCCTTACCAGAGCTCAGCTGAAGCCTGGCACAAGGGGTGGGAGGAAAACCACACCTTGGAAAACTTTGCCAGGAAAGGGGGCAGGGAACCAGTAGGGGGCGGGGATGCCCTGGAATGCCCCCATGCTTTGCTGCCAACCATATCTCCTAGGCAAGTTTGGGGAGGTCCTAGGAGTTGTCCGTGCTGCACAAGCTACTGCCCATGAACGATGATGGAATGGGCAGAGCAAGCGAGGGGGACGGGGCAGGCGCTCCGTGACGAATCTCTTCTAACCGGTACGGTAGATTTCTGGAAGCTCTTCTACCGAACAGGTTAGAACTGGCAGGAATCTACCCCTACTCTGCATGAGAATGAAGGAAAAGTAAACACGTTTACTTTTCCTTCATTCTCGGTTTTGCAGCTATTTGAGTTTTTTTCTTTTGCTGTTAGTCTTGGTAAGTCCAGTATAGTATCTAAATGCTAACCAGTTAGAAGAACACTTTAGTAAAATCTCTGGCACATTGCATCTGTAAATAAATACAATCAAATCAATCCAGCTGTTGTTTTTCTTACTTGTAACTCCTCACATAACTAAAGATTTATAGCAGTTACACTGTAAAATCTACATGAATCAATGCAATTGTAGATGAAGCTTTTGAAAGATAAAGGGATACTCTGGGTCACAAAATACTAATTTCAGTTACCATCGTTATTATTACATTATAGATATACACATGAACACCATGGTTACCATGCAAGTTCATCATGACCTTAATTTGTTCATGATTTTGATTTTAGTTTTGGAAAAAAATATGCAATTGTTATGCAGGCATGGGCATGTTTGCATATTATTTGTGGTATAACTTGACAGTTTAATTTCTGGTTACTATCAATGCTCTTATGTAGCCATTTTAGTCTAAATCAGTAGGCAGGACTGAAGTGCAAATGTCCTTGACAAA